GTCACCACAACCAGAGATGTTGGGATCCGGAGTAAAGACGTGTCTTATGACAGGCTTGTGGTAAGGACATGCAAAGGACCAAGAAACAACTTCTCTTATTTAATCTGCTTAACCAGAATAATTCTGTTCAGCATCTAAATGGTTTCTGATCTAATTTTAGGAAAGGGCTCAGCAAGCTGAAGACCAAAGAAGAGTCAGCAGTGATCTTCTTATATCATTTATCACTCAGGATAAAGGCCTACTGCTACATCTGGAAGTGAGTTTTAAATTTATAATTAAATTTGCACACTGTGACTAATTTCAGTCAAAACATGACTCATGAATTATTTAAGTGAAACATTTTCTGCTAACCTAGTGTTTGGACATTTACTTTGAGCATCCTCCAAAAATATCTCTATTTACAGGCAATCATCGCAGGAAAAGTGTCATCCACCTGGGCTTCATCAAAGGGCAGGGTGGACATTTTCTTTGAGGAGGATGAGCAGCTGGACAGAGTGATGGGCTTCTTGACAAGCCTGGTTGAAGCACAGACAACCAGATGTCACAATCAAGTGGCATTCATGATGGATGTGCTTCTGCCAGAGGTACGTTCTGAAAATGTTTATGTATCACATGAAAATATTTTGTAGCATTACTGTTGTCAGTCTATAACTCATGGTTAATATCTTGTTACCTGCAACATGACAGACTAATGTCTACATGAAAGATGTCCTTTTGTTCACCTCATTACTCAGGCAACCATCCATGCGCTTTCAGCTATCCGTGAATGTTGACGGACAAAGCCACAGAAATGTACGGCAGTGGGCTGCAGTATGACTGGAGGTATTCTACAAACACAAGAACAGTGCTAATGCCTATATGTATTGTTTTCACATTGTTTATGACAGCCTCTAGGTGTGAATGTCATTTTTACTAATTGCTATTTATCTCTGTCTCATTAGTGAGAGGCAGCTGATGTCCTATGCCACGGAACTGCTCATATACACGGAGAAACTCAGAAAAGCTCTGGACTCATCTGAATTTTTGAAGAGGCTGTAGTATTGTGTTGACTTTTTTTTTGGAAGGTATTTGTAAGACCAATAAAAGTTGTTGGTTGTTTCATTTGTCTGAACTTTTTTTCTAAAGCAAAACTTTTCTGTTTTTGTGTTTACAGCATATTTTTTAAAGATTAGTGAATGGTCAATATCAGTTTACTAGTCTTGTGAATTGTATACTTAATTCAAAATATTTTAGTAATTTCTAAATCAATACATTTTGTGTCAAATTTCAGCTGTTAACTTTATTTTCTCTGTAAGTGTTTTTCTCCCCAGAAGAAGCTACAACGATGTTCTGCTGAGCTGTGGTGGCCTCATGGAGGGGGCCATCGACTAGCACACTGCTGCTAACCACTTAAACATTCTCTCTCCTGATAATAACTTTTTGGTTTCCTTGACTTTTGATGTGCTAATACAAGTTAATCCGTTTAATTATAGATCCACTAGGATAAATACCATAAAGTTTATCTTTCACCAAATAGAATATTTACTAAGACATCACAATATAACTGTAGACACATTACTTGTCTGACTGTCTGTGTGTGTGTGTGTGTGTGTGTGTGTGTGTGTGTGTGTGTGTGCTCTGTCTTCTCGATCCCCAGTGAGTCATGGAGGATGGCTGCTTATACTGAGCCAGGATTCACTGGAGGTTTCTTCCTGTTAAAAGGGAGTTTTCCTCTCCACTGTCGCTTTAAGCTTGCTTGGTATGAGGATTGCTGTATAGAGCTCCGGACCCCACGTGACTCTCAGTTAGTAGACGCCATTTTGGCATGCAAAAAAGGTAAACAAACACGGATGTAACCATGAATATGAACGGGATCCGCTTGGATTTTACTTCGTCGGAGTTTACTTCACACTTTAAAACAGAAGAAATCGTTTTATATAGTCAGAAATTAAATAGACTAAACATCTCCGACCCTTACCGTGCCCCTGGGATACTTTTTAAAAACGCCAGAATCTGTCGGAGCGGACTTCTTACCGGCACAACACCGGACCTGACCGGGGGAACCCCTTGGGATTCCCCCGGCCGGAGGAGCTGGGGAGAAGGTTTGGGACTCTCGACTCTACTGCCCGCTCCGACGCCAGAAGCTGTCAGAGCGGACTTCTTACCGGCACAACACCGGACCTGACCGGGGAACCCCTTGGGATTTACCCGGAGGAGCTGGCTCCGGTGGCTGGGGAGAGGGAAGTCACGCTACTGCCCCCGCAACCCGACTCCGGATACGCGGATGAAAATGGATGGATGGACGGACAAATAACAGATTTACACGTAAGTAGTCTCGGTGAGACAGATAATAGCAATCCAAAGTGCTTTTTATGTGTGATCTGACAATTGATCAACCATTGCTTAAAAATTAAATACAGCTTAGCCGGTTAATTGCTGTGATCATAAAACACGTAAACGGCAGCACGCAGAACTCACGAGGCAACGTTTTACGTGATGTTTACTTGCTGCTATGAGTAATAAGACAGAAAAAGCCACGCCAAAATAAGTTTAGGAAGCCCACTAAGAATCATAATAAAAGCATTTAAAATAAATACCACACACAGTTGAGGAAATGTTGGTTTAAGTACCTGATGTGAAGTGGTCAATGCATAAGCGAAAACCTTTACTCTCGGGATCCCACAGCTTCATTTTCACCCGGTCACTAGTGCGTTTTATTACAATGATCCAACGTTTGCGGCGCTCTGGATCTTGGGGAATCCTGTAGATGACTCATTCCTTATGTCGTCCGCGTCTGTTCTGCATCCTGGGGCACAACAGGAATCTACCATATTTCTCGTTTGATTGAGTTTTCTGACAATAACAAATAGTCCAGCTGCCGGCTTCTGCATGCCAATATGGCGCAGTTTCGATTTGAACTGTTGCATGCCGGGAGAAGTGACTTCAACTCCCGGAGCTCTATAGTTCGCATTGAAAGGCGTTTGATATGAATCAAACCCCAATCTCCTCTGCTGGAGCCTGAGGCGGGGTGCTGCACCCTGGATCTGACCCAGGTTTCAGCTCCCCTGCCCCGCTGGGAGGGTTTGAAACACCGCCATCACCTGCTGGAGCCTGTGGCGGGCTGCTCCGGACTGGATCGGACCTAGGAATGAGCTCCCCTGCCCCGCTGGGAATTAAAAACACAGCCCGATCACCTGCTGGAGCTGACAGCGGGATGCTGTGCCCTGGATCCGACCCAGGTTTAAGCTCTCCCCGCCCGCTGGGAGGGCTGCCGTTATTTAGAACTGGGGCTCACAGGGAATTCCCCGCGGAGCGCTGGATATAAAGGAGGCGCGGTCGGTACTGGTGGATCCTCATCCCATGAGGATGAGATTTCAACAGCAGCTCTCCTTCGGTACATTTCTGCTTGGAGCTCCGTGACTCCCAGTCGGTTACATAACGCCTGTCTCATTTGAATTGCCTAATTTTTGCTTCTAGATAAGAAGTATATTATTCTACCACTAGCCTGTTGAACCATGAACTCTGCCATCGCAGAGTACATAGCTCCTGGGTCACATCGGTACTGTCCGACTCCAAATGGAGTAAGAACTAAAGGTTCCGGTCCAGTTGGGAGTTGCTCCAGCAATCCCAAAAGGATCTCATACTTTTCATCCTTGGAGAGGCTCGCTGGATTTTCCCAACAGCACCACGCCACCTGACTAAAAGCGGGGTCATTTTGTTGTTCTCCCAAAATTACCAAATCTCCCACTAACGGAAAAACATGAGCATTTCTTACTTGGGTTTCAGCATTCGGACAGCGCTCAGCCGCAGCTCTAGCTGTTCCTGCTTCATTCTAAAAGTTCCGATTACAGGACACTGCTAAAATGTCCTGCGGTTCGCCTTGATATGTAGCTATCTCTCCGGTTACAAATCTCACGTTAAGGAGAATATTCTCCGGTTTTACCGTTAAAGATCTATCTGCCATGGCTGGTTAGTTTTTCTTATTTTTATTTTATTCGCTTTTACATCTTATTTTTTATTCTTATTCTTTATTTTTAGTCTAGTTCATCCTTGGCTTTTCTTGCGTCGGAAAGCCGTAATTTCTTTATACCTATTTAAGTTAATCGTCCGTTCTCCCGGTTTCTTTCCTTTTCGAGAAACTGGTGCGGTTTTCACTCCAAGGTTATAAGCTAATTAGGTCCATAGTGCGCAAGCTTTTATCAGCCTAGAAAACAGTTCTACCTTGGTAAGCCCGGTATCTAATATTTACCTTCACTCTGTAGCCCCACGTTGGGCGCCATGTCGCGAGCACGTCATATTTGTCGGTTCCTTTAAAACCTGGTTCCGTTAGAACTTATAAGACTGCGCTGCGTTCTCAGGGTTCGTAGGGATGTCGGTGAGTTTTATTGTACTAGACCCTGGTTTGGACTTCCTCAATTAGAATTAGTTCCCTATTTTAAGGAGAAATGATATGCCATACTCGTTTCTTTGTGAGAGCACACTTCCTTTTAATTAATCCCGTTATCTAGTGGTTTAGATACTAGGGCCAAGTCCAGCGGGAGGCCATCCGTCGCTGGCAATTCTTTGGGTTATTAGGATTAATTTGCGCCTCTGTCAGCTTTTGTGGGAGTTGGTAACTAGAAAATGATTCTTGTTAGTTGATCAGGCTAACATAGATTTATCAATTTATCTAATTAATCCAACCTTCCCAGCGCTGGCAGAGACTTTTTCACACTTGCAAACAGAGCCTAATTTAACCTACTAATGTTTTGGCTTTATCATCCTTAAGACATCTCGTTACTCGTGGGAGAGGAGAAGACTAGCTTCTTTATCTTAAGGTTTCTTTTTATTAATCTGTCACAAACCATAGAGCAAATCCTGATAACTCAGGAACCTGTAATTAATTTGCTTACCTCTCCTTAAGATAGGTCAGGGCTCACACTTGTCCCTTTAAAGAGGACCTTTAAAAAATCAGGAATGTGGATTCTTTTTCAAAAAGTTTATTACAAGATTAAAAATACAAAAATGAGTAGATATAAAACTGACCACTTTCCCCAAGGAGAAATTAGTCCTAATGATTAATTAAGAATAATTAGTTGGCTTACACCAACTTTGTCTTCAAGCTACTGCTCCTGCTACTGTGTCTGTCGACTGCCCCAAAAACTGTGTCCAGCTCTGCTTCTAGCTGCTCTTTTATAATCTTCTTGGGAACATTCTAGACAAGGTAAAAAGTCTTCTAGTTACACATATATCATATTACATGACAGTAAGGTCATGGGGTCATTTGCCAGTTACACACTTTTTAGCTCAACACAAGACATTTGGTATCATTTTTGCTACGTGCAGGATTCTTCATGAAGGCTTTTTCAGCTAAACACGGGTCATTAGGCATCATCTTTGCAGCAGATCCTCAGTTTCCTCAGAAATCCAGCATTCTTCAAGAAGGCTTTTCTTTCTGATGAGCTCTTTTCACTCTGTTTCCTCCAGTCCCTCCTTTCCTGCCAGAGGCTGGGTCAGCCGCTTTCTGACCTTTTGCCCAGTTTTGTCCTCAGAAGCAAGTTCTGACCTCTTGTCCCTGCGACCCTTCTGTGACCCTTGTTTCTTACCACAGTTTTTGACCCGCAGGAACTTGCAACAAAAGTATCTGATTAGTTTAAAAAAATATGTTTTGTTCAATTTGGTTTTCAGAATGTCACTAGTTTTCATACTTTAAAAAAATATATATACTGATGTACTGAAATACAGATAAATCAACTTGTGAGTACAATGCATGTTAATATAGTAAGTATAGCATGTTTAACATAAGCACATTCACACATGGAAAGTATCAATGTAAATAAATCATATGGCAGTAACTCTGCTGTACTTCATTGTGTAAAAGTAGCCCACGGGCCAAAAAAGGTTAGAGACGGAACGAGAGATCGTTCAGCCCTAGTGGCTGCTTAGATGATTGTTCAAAGTTTTGTTTCAGCAAAATCTTCGTCCACAGAGCTCACAAGCAAAAGGCTGCTGTCCTTTATTGACTCTTTTGTGACCGTTTAAACTGATCTTTTGGGTTAATCTTTTCCACTGAACTCACAGGTGAAAAGCCAGTGTGAACTCTCATGTGTCTGTTTAAATGTGTCTTTCGGCTAAATCTTTTTACACAGAGCTCACAAGCAAAGGGTTTCTCTCCTGTGTGGACTCTCATGTGATTGTTTAAATTTGTCTTTTGGCTAAATCGTTGTCTACAGAGCTCACAAGCAAAAGGCTTCTGTCCAATGTGGACTCTCATGTGTTTGTTTAAATTTGTCTTTTGGCTAAATCGTTGTCCACAGAGCTCACAAGCAAAAGGCTTCTGTCCAGTGTGGGCTGTCATGTGTGTGTTTAAACTTCCCTTTTCACTAAATCTATTACCACAGAGCTCAAAGGCGAAACGCTTCTCTCCTGTGTGGACTCTCACGTGTTTGTTTAAAGTTGACTTTTCACTAAATCTATTCCCACAAAGCTGACAGGTGAAAGGCTTCTCTCCTGTGTGGACTCTCATGTGACTGTTTAAATTTGTCTTTTGGCTAAATCGTTGTCCACAGAGCTCACAAGCAAAAGGCTTCTCTCCAGTGTGGACTCTCATGTGTTGGTTTAAATTTGTCTTTTCACTAAATCTATTACCACAGAGCTCACAGACGAAACACTTCTCTCCTGTGTGGACTTTCATATGTTTGTTTAAAGTTGACTTTTCACTAAATCTTTTCCCACAGAGCTGACAGGTGAAAGGCTTCTCTCCTGTGTGGACTCTCATGTGACTGTTTAAAGTTTTCTTTTGGCTAAATTTCCTTCCACAGAGCTCACAAGCAAAAGGCTTCTGTCCAGTGTGGACTCTCATGTGTGTGTTTAAACTTCCCTTTTCACTAAATCTATTACCACAGAGCTCACAGGCGAAAGGCTTCTCTCCTGTGTGGACTCTCATGTGTTTCTTTAAAGCTGACTTTTCACTAAATCTTTTCCCACAGAGCTGACAGGTGAAAGGCTTCTCTCCTGTGTGGACTCTCATGTGTGTGTTTAAATGTGTCTTTCGGCTAAATCTTTTTACACAGAGCTCACAAGCAAAGGGTTTCTCACCTTTGTGGGCTCTCATGTGACAGTTTAAAGTAGTCCTTTGGCTAAATCTATTCCCACAGAGCTCACAAGCAAAAGGCTTCTGTCCAGTGTGGACTCTCATGTGTGTGTTTAAACTTCCCTTTCCACTAAATCTATTACCACAGAGCTCACAGACGAAACACTTCTCTCCTGTGTGGACTCTCATGTGGTTGTTTAAAGCTGACTTTTCACTAAATCTTTTCCCACAGAGCTGACAGGTGAAAGGCTTCTCTCCTGTGTGGACTCTCATGTGTGTGTTTAAATGTGTCTTTCGGCTAAATCTTTTTACACAGAGCTCACAAGCAAAGGGTTTCTCACCTGTGTGGGCTCTCATGTGTTTGTTTAAATGTCCCTTTTCACTAAATCTATTCCCACAGAGCTCACAAGCAAAAGGCTTCTGTCCTGTGTGGACTCTCATGTGACTGTTTAAAAGTGTCCTTTGACTAAAGAATTTGTTGACAGTCCTAAAATCTGACTCAGAACACCTTTTCTCATTCCAGTCTTTGTCTCGGTCTCCAATTTCAGACCCAGAGTCTGACAGCTCAGAGTCTAGAGTTGCATCATCATCATCATCATCATCTACAATGTCAGTCTCTGAATAATCAAGAGTCTGTTCATGAGGGTTCAGATCTGGGTTCTGGCTAGTTTCTAGTCCACCAGTTTCTGCTGTCGTCTGGTCAGCTGAGCTGCTGGTTGAAACATCTCTGTCTTCTATTTGCTTCTGATGAAGCTGTGAGAACAGAGGCTTCTCTTTATCATCCTCACTCTTTATTGAAGCAACAGTGAATGGAAACCTGGTGGCATCAGTCTCCTCCTTCAAATGGAGATGTGCCCCTTCCATACTGGGCCAGAGTTTCTCCAGTTCCTCTTTTATATGGAGAAAATCTAAGTCCTGCTGGTTGACACCAGCGCTATGTTCTTCTAGAGCTTCTTCTTTAACCAGCACCACCTGTTGAAAAGCTTTAGGAAACACAGAAACACATGATGTGAATTACTGACAGCTGTAACTGTGTTTTCAAACATATAACAGGAGCCCTGAACAAACGGCCAAGTAAAAGACGCATAATAACACCTATTATAAAATGACCTTTTCCCCTGCACACTGGACAAGGACATGAAAACTCAATGAGCTGCATACTGACTAGAAAGTTTGCCCTTATAGCCTGGTGAAATTGTGTGTGTGTGCATGTGCGTCTTAAGCCTGGTTTATGCTTCTCCGTCAGCTCCGCAAGGGACAGACATGCACGGATTGACGGAAGCGTTTTGCTTTCATACTTCTCCGTCTCCTGGAGAGTGTTGCAAAGCAATTCCCCGGCAGGACAACAGAGGGTGTAGCGCTGCAGTGTCTCCAGGAACGGTGCACCAAAAAAAAAAAAAAAGAAAGAAAGAAAAAAAAAAGTATCGGTCCAAGATAGTGTGTTTATATTGTGTTTTTTGTGTATATAACAGACTTTTAACACGGACATATTTGTCTCTCATTCTCCTCCATCTCTTCATGCGCTCCCCACCTCTAAACCCACGTTTTCTGTCATTTCCGTCCACAAATAAAACGCTTGCTGCGCATCTTTTCACTCCTCCAGTCACGGTGTCGCGAGCACGTCCTATTTGTCAGTTCCTTTAAAACCTGGTTCCGTCAGAACTTAGTAAGACTACGCTGCGTTCTCAGGGTGTGTGGGGATGTCGGTGAGTTTTATTGTACTAGACCCTGGTTTGGACTTCCTCAATTAGAATCAGTTCCCTATTTTAAGGAGAAATGATATGCCATACTTGTTTCTTTGTGAAAGCACACTTCCTTTTAATTAATCCCGTTATCTATTGGTTTAGATACTAGGGCGAAGTCCAGCGGGAGGCCATCCGTCGCTGGCAATTCTTTGGGTTATTAGGATCAGCTTTTGTGGGAGTTGGTAACTAGAAAATGATTCTTGTTAGTTGATCAGGCTAACATAGATTTATCAATTTATCTAATTAATCCAACCTTCCCAGCGCTGGCGGAGACTTTTTCACACTTGCAAACAGAGCCTAATTTAACCTACTAATGTTTTGGCTTTATCATCCTTAAGACATCTCGTTACTCACGGGAGAGGAGAAGACAAGCTTCTTTATCTTAAGGTTTCTTTTTATTAATCTGTCACAAACCGTAAAGCAAATCCTGATAACTCAGGAACCTGTAATTAATATGCTTACCTCTCCTTAAGATAGGTCAGGGCTCACACTTGTCCCTTCAAAGAGGACCTTTAAAGAATCAGGAATGTGGATTATTTTTCAAAAAGTTTATTACAAGATTAAAAAATACAAAAATGAGTAGATATAAAACTGACCACTTCCCCCCAAGGAGAAATTAGTCCTAATGATTAATTAAGAATAATTAGTTGGCTTACACCAACTTTGTCTTCAAGCTACTGCTCCTGCTACTGTGTCTGTCGACTGCCCCAGAAACTCTCTCGTCAGCCTCCGTCCAGAGGACGGAGGCCGACGGAGGCCGACCTCTTCTATCCCAGCTCTGCTCTGTCTCTCACTGTCGTCTGCCCCAACTGTTGTGTCAGCTCTGCTTCTAGCTGCTCTTTTATACTCTTTTTGGGAACATTCTAGACAAGGTAAAAAGTCTTCTAGTTACACATATATCATATTACATGACAGTAAGATCATGGGGTCATTTACCAGTTACACACTTTTTAGCTCAACACAAGACATTTATCATTTTTGCTACATGCAGGATCCTTCATGAAGATTCTTCAGCTTAACACAGGTCATCAGGCATCATCTTTGCAGCAGATCCTCAGTTTTCTCCGAAATCCAGCATTCTTCAGGAAGGCTTTTCTTTCTGATGAGCTCTTTTCACTCTGTTTCTTTCAGTCCCATCTCTCCTGCCAGAGGTTGGGCCAGACGCTTCCTGACCTTTTGCCCAGTTTGGTCCTCGGAAGCAAGTTCTGACCTCTTGTCCCTGCGACCCTTCTGTGACCCCTGTTTCTGACCACAGTTTTTGACCCCTTGGATTCTTCATGGAGGGTTTGTCACTTCTGAGATGCTTTATCTTCAGTTGATCTTCTTTTGTCCCAGCTTGGATGCTTGTTTGTGCAGTTGGGCCCCTGTCTTCTGGCTGATTTTACTTGCATAAGCAAGTTCAGTGTGTTTCAGTGTGGGTCCAATCTTATCTCTGTGGCCCACCTGTTGACTCTGTTTCTTGCCACTGTATTTGGCATGTGGGAACTTGCAACAACGGGAGAATTAAATGTTCATATTTTTAGAGTTTTTTCGCGAGGTATTCTTCAAGCTTCTCCGTGTCTGCCGCTAGTTATCCTCGTCTCTCTTTAAGTTTTTGAGGGCGCAATGGCGGCGCTGTAAACAACAGCGGCGTCCTGACCAATCACAAGCTTGCGTTGTCTGTCTCGACTGATAGATGTTTAGAAAAGAGAGCTCGACTCCGTACGTACTTGCGTGCCTGCCGGATCCCTGCGCAAGGGAGGATAATGGCGTTGAGTGTGCTCCGCACTGACGCAGACGGAGAAGCATAAATCAGGCTTTACATCTGCTGTGAGGACACATTTTTCACCTCTAACATGGAGACATATTAAAATTGTGAGGACATTTGCTACGTTATCACAGTGAATAAAAACCTAATTTGGTTTTAGAGGTATGGTGTGAATTAACTTTTAGTTGAGGTTAGAGTTGGGAATGCAGCAACAGTAGTTACTTAACCAGACTGGTAATTGAGAGAACTGGGAAATGGCCTGCCATTACCCTGGCCCACTCAGTGACTGCCGTCAGTCATGGCATGCTTCATGTCTAAATGAACAATCCGTCATGTGACTAATCGGGCCTGTATTGGCGCTTTCACATCTGGGCAAGTATGGATTGGACTGTGTGGCATTTGTCCGGGTCCTGCACCAGTAGGTTTTGTTCACACACACTTCTCATGAACTGGGAAATCTCCTAGCTAGTGGGCTGGGCCAAATAAAGTACAGAGAAAGTCAGCGGTGACTCCCATAAACAATGGCTGTGCAGCTTAAATCTCTTTGAGCGTTTATGTGTGTGTGTGCTCCTCACAGCAGTGAGGAGCGACGCCGCTTCAGTCAGAGGTGACATTGACTAAACAGTATCCATGATAATGAATTGCGCATGCAAGAAGGCCCCGCTGCTTGGTTCAATCCGCCAATCGAAGGCTCCCACTAATGGTAGGCGTGTTTTTGAACCAGCCAATCAGTTGGTAATGGGTGTATTGGACTTGTTCAGCCCAGAGCAGACCTCCTTGGTATGTGGGCCGAAAAACCGACTGGTTTAGTGCAGAAAATTACAAGACTACCTAGATATGGACACTTTAGCCCCATTCCCACCTGTACCGGGTCGGCCCGGGCCGGGTAGCCCCAGTCGGCCCCAGCCTGGCCCGGTTGATTCCACACATCCTTGCCTTAAGCCCATGTGGGCTGATTCTACCCACCAATCAGAGGCTTGCTCTAATGGAAGGTGTGAATGGGCTGATTCTACCCACCAATCAGAGGCTTGCTCTAATGGAAGGTGTGAATTTGCTGTCAGCAGTGGGCGTGTTGGCCCTGGTCGGCCTGAAGCAGTACCCCTCGGGAAGAGGGCCGAGAATGAGCCTTGGTTGGCCCGGGAAAATTCCAGGCCACCCAGATGTGTAAACAACCTACGCTACCCGGCCCGGGCCGACCCGGTACAGGTGGGAATGGGGCTTTTAAAAGCTACCCAGTCTGGTCCATGCTGGCCCAGATGAGAAAGCACCATAAGTGACCATTTTGGAAGAACCAGTTTAAGGTGGTGTTTTAGGGCCAACTGAGTTAACACGAAGTGCACATTGCGCAATGATGAGTATGCAGGGTGGGTTTGAGTGCGTAAGAAGAAACAATGGCTGCCAGGATTTGATAATCTGATCATCATCACCTGACACCACTTCTAATTTTGACCTTTCATCATACTGGAACTTTTTTCTAGGGTACAATGCGTACCTGTAAAATTTCCTGGTATTTATTAGTCCAAATCTCTGAGATCTCTGTGTTCAGAAAAGAACCAAATAATGGAATTGGATAACAAACACAGATATTATTTAACAAAGATGTTCAAAGCCTTTTCTCCGCCCGCAGCACAGTCAGAGCTGCTTGAATAGAGTAGACTATTATTCCCACAGTGGGGAAAATCACTCCTTACAACAGAACATACACTTAAGAGAAAAAGAAGCAGAAAAATAATTTATTATTGTAACCTTCAACCACTAAAATCAATGAATAAAATAAAAACTTGGGTTTCCAGAAGAATGCATCATAAAGGACACTGACATACTAATGTACATCAGTGCACAAGTATTGAACACATTCTGAATATTGCATTGATGTCTTTGTGTAACAGAGCCATTATACACGTTTACTGCAGAGGGGATGAACGACCTATGGTAGCGGTCTGTTTTGCATCTCGGATGTCTCAGTCTGCCACTGAAGGAGCTGTCCAATGCCTCCACAGTGGAATGCAGTGAGTGAGAGGTTTTTTAGGATGGAGGTAATCTTCACCATCATCCTCCTTTCACTCATCTCCTCTACTAAATGTAGTTGGCAGCTGGGAATTAACTTTGAAGAACCTCAGCCTCCTCAGGACGAGGGGGCGGCTTTGACCCTTCTTATACAGAGCATCTGTGTTGTTGGACCAGTTTAGTTTACTGCTCAGGTGAACACCCCGGTACTTAAAGATATTCAACACCTAAATGTCTGCATCCTGGATGTTTACTGGTGACTGAGGAGTAGTGTTTCTCTGGAAGTCAATCACCATCTCCTTTGTCTTACTGGTGTTCAAGCAAACACCAGTCAATAAAGTCTACGATGACTAGGGTTGCCAACCGTCCCTTGAAAAACGGAATCGTCCCGTATTTAGAAACAAAAGCGCACGTCCCGTATTGAACTCAAAAGGGACGCACTTTGTCCCGTAATATAGTATGGATCAAAATTAGTCTGTAGTCT